TCAATTTATTATTTAAACAAATACAAGCTTCATTAGAATATATATTTAAACAAATTTAATGAATATGGTAACTCAATATTTAAAATAAACCACACAAATTGCATTTGTAAAGCTATTATTAAGCGTAACTATGAATGCATGTAAATGATATTTGTTTATAACTGTTCAATTTATTATTTAAACAAAGACAATCTTTATTAAAATATATATTTACTATTATAAATGAAATAAAAGTTTAAATTTGGCAATTCTGATATTTAGAACAAAACACTTAACAAATTCTATTTGTTAGTTGTTATTAATTTATACAAGCTAAAATACTATTGAATGATTGATTTGTATATAATTTATACAAATATAATCTTTTTAAAATGTTTAATAATATCAATCAAACAAATTTTAAAGTTTTAAATATGGTAACTGCAATAGAGCAAAAAAACTTATAAATTAATTCGATTTATTATTTTAACATACACAATCTTTATTAATATTATAACATATTTATTTTATAATCAAAGTTTTAAATATGGCAATATTTAAATATTTAGAACAAAATATTTAATACTATTTATCCCAGTAAACAATTGAGTTACTCGAATAATTCGGATCAGTTGAATTTGGGTGGCTCGCTTGATTTAATTCATTTTGTTATTTTTTTTTATTTTTATTTAAATTCTTTTATATTTATTAAAAACTATGTTCTTATATGAATACAACATATGATTGCATATTGTATTATAGTTAATATTTTTCGGTTCCATACGAGTTGATTCGAATCAGGTTGTTAGGGCCTTGATTCAAATTATAGATAAAAGAAGACTAATTCGAATGATTCGAGTTGGCACATCATTAATTTAAAAAATATAATTCGGATCATTCGAGTAACCGCCGATTGATTCGGATCAAGTGAGAAACTCGAATTCGGATCAACCGGATTCGGTTGAATTCGGATGGTTCGCATGATTTTATTTATTCTTTATAGTTATTGACATTATTTTTTAATATTCATTAAAATTTACTTAGCTCTTATATGAATGCAATAAATGTTTACATATTTTCCGGTTTCATACGAGTTGATTCGAATGAAATATAATGCGATTCGTATCAGGTTGTTAAGAGCTTGATTCGAGTTGGCACTAATTTAAATTTTCGGTTTTGTACGAGTTATTTGAATCACGTTGTTAGGAGCTTGATTTGAATGATTCGAGTTGGCACGTCACTAATTTATATATATACAATCATTATTAAAATATATAATATTTATCAATTCGACATTTTTTCGTTAATATTTTCGGTTTTGAACGAATTGATTTGAATGAAGTAGAATGCGATTCGAATCATGTTGTTAGGAGTAGGAGGAGTAGGAGCTTTATTCGAATCATAGATAAATTCGAATGATTCGAGTTAGCACATCACTAATTTAAACAAATACCATCATTATTAAAATATGTATTTATCAATTCGACTTTTTTTTCGTTAATATTTTACGGTTTCATACGAGTTGATTCAAATGATGTAGAATATGCGATTCGAATCAGGTTGTTGAGGAGCTTGATTCGAATGATTCGAGTTGGCACATCACTTATTTAAAAATATACCATCATAATTAAAATATATATTTATCAATTCGACTTTTTTTCGTTAATGTTTTACGGTTCATACGATCGTATGAAACTCAGTTGATTCGATCGTAAATCAGTTGATTCGAATCGAATCAGGTTGTTAGCAGGAGCTTGATTCGAATGATTCGAATTGGCAAATCACTAATTTGAACAAATATCATCATCATTAAAATATATATTTATCAATTCAACATTTTTTGTTGATGTTTTACGGTTTCATACGATCGTATGAAACTCACTTGATTCGAATCAGGTTGTTAGCAGGAGCTTGATTTGAATGATTAGAATTGGTAAATCACTAATTTAAACATACACAATCATATACTCTTTTTTTTAATCTATGTGTACAATCATTATTAAAATATATATTTATCAATTCGACATTTTTAACTTCCCGTAGGGTAAGTTATTGTAATGGGCCAAAAATCGGAATTGAAAATTTTTACATTTCTCGACGTTTTGAAGGTTTCTGAACATTTTGGCATACCTCAGAAAAAATGGATGTGTGTGTGTGTGTGGGGGGGGTATGTATGTATGGATACAAATTTCCAGTCACGTTTTCGGGCGCACGGATCAACCGATTTGAATGGTTCAAAAAACATTCGATTCCTATCGATAGGGAAAAGAGCTGATTAGTTTTTGGCAAAAGCAGGTCTAGCCGTTTCGGGGATACGGAGCAAAGAGTGCAGAAAATAGAAATCGACTTTTTGAGAGAACGGAGCATCAGATTTGAATGACCTAAAAAACATTCAATTAGTAATGATTGGGAGAAGTGGTTATTAGTTTTTGGCAAAGGCAGGCGCAGCCAAAAAATGGCAGTTTTTGAGAGAACTAAGCGTCCGATTGGAATGATTCAAAGAACTTTCTAACTAACAACATAATTGATTTTGGAAAAAAAATTAAGATTTTTTAATTTTTTGTATATCGAAAATAATTCAGATTTTATTTTTAATTCTGACTATAGTTCTTATATACTTTAAACAAATAATTTCAACTTTGCAATTCAGTTTATATAATTATTATAAATATTAGACAATGTTACAATATATATATTAATAATAATCTATTTGAAAACATTCAGTATTCCTCGAACATTTCGTTACGGTACGGGAAGTTCCAGCAATTTGCCTTAAGGCACGATGCCACCCACCCCACTAGTTTTTTGAAAAACTTGTTTAGCTAATTTAGGCCTAATAAACAAATTTTTAAATATGGTAACACTGCAATTTTAGCACAAAACCCTTTAGCAAACCCTTTAGAAAACAAATTTTAATTATTATAAATATTAATTACTACGAAAGCATGGTTATAGCCTATATATGCATATATAAAATTAAAATCTATTATTTAAACAAATACAATATTTGTAAAATATTTAATTATTGTTATAAACAAATTAATATCCTGCAAAACTACTTTATCCGGTTCGATTAATCTCCATATTGATTAATTATCAATGATTTCCATATTGGTTTTGGGCGCACTTACCAAGATGCACTTTACAAGAACAAATCGATTTGTTAAGATGTAATCCGCGAATTACTGGTCAATCATAAAGATACATATTAATCGATTAAAACTAACAAATTGTAAATTTTATAATAAACTTTAATTGCTATATATTAAAGCATTTATAAGTCAATAAATATTTTTAAATAAATTTCGTTGCAAAAGTGCGTTGTGCAAAAATCGGGATTTGAACATGGAGATGGAGATGCAGATCGAGACTTCTTTTGTGAATACTGCGAATAATAATACTTGATTGATGCTTTTTATAGTTGCAATGTGTTACTATTAGTGGTAAGTATATGTTTTATACAAAAAATCCGATAAAAACTATGTATTTTTATCAAATTTCTGTGTTTTTTGCTCACGTGCACGTGTTTGCAAAAGGCTCCAAATACACTAATTTACGGGTTGATATGTAGCCCTATTGTTTAAATCAACTTGTTAAATATACCCTTTATGTATTGAATCATTTTGTTGCAAAAATCATCGTTTTATAATATATTTTTTGTATATTTAGATTGGAGGTTATAAATGTGCATGCGGTAAATACATAAAGCACTACACAAGGGGGCTCTCTGATGTACTCTTATGATTTCTGCAGTCTCCAGTTGATGTATTGTGAAAAATATAGTAAGTATTGTTACTGCATTGTAAATTCTGCCCACAAGTTTTGAGTCGATGAAGACTCGATGGATTTTTTTTAGGCCTTCTGTATACAAAGTACATGTAATTTTTTGTACAAAGGCTCTAATGATATATACATACTGTTTTTGGAGTCTTCAGTTGATTTATATAGAAAAATGCAGCTACTGGGCAGTAAATTGCTGTATTTTATACCCATGTGCTCGTGCTTGCAAAAGGCTCCAAATACCCTAATTTAAAGCTTAATACGTAGCCCTATTGTTTAAATCAACTTGTTAATTATACCCTTTATGTATTTAATTACTTTTTTGCAAAAATCATTGTTTCATAATTAATAATTTTGTATTTTCAATTGTAGGTTATAAACGTGCATGTTGTAAATACAGAACGCACTACACAAGGGGGCTCTCTGGTGTACTGCTACTGTTTTTGAAGTCTCCAGTTGATGTATTGTGAAAAATATAGTAAGTATTGTTAATGCATTGTAAATTCTGCCCACAAGTTTTGAGTCGATGAAGACTCGATTGATTTTTTTAGGCCTTTTGTATATAGATTTTTTTTGTAAAAGGCCTCTGATGGTATACATACTATTTTTGGAGTCTTCAGTTGATTATTATAGAAAATTGCAGCTACTGTGTAGTAAATTTCTGTATTTTATACCCATGTGCTCGTGTTTGTAAAAGGCTCCAAATGCACTAATTTACAGGTTGATATATCCATATATGGAGCCCCATTAGCTAAATCAACTTGTTAATGACACCCTTTATGTATTTAATAACTTTTTTGCAAAAATCATTGTTTCATAATGAATAATTTTGTATTTTCAAATGTAGGTTATAAACATGCATGCAGTAAATGCAGAATGCACTACACAAGGGGGCTCCCTGATGTACTGCTACTGTTTTTGAAGTCTCCAGTTGTTCAGTGAAAAATATAGTAAGTATTATTATTTTATAATACATTATCTATCATACTTTTGAGTTGATGAAGATTCTGAATCTTATCGAGACTGCTAAGTCACTTTATTTTAGTTCAGTTTATACTTAATTATATGTGGGAGCTCCAATAGAACACATTTATGATTTATGGCAACTTATATACAATATTCAGAGTCTTCAGTTAATATATATTGCAAAATTTAGTATTATTATTACTGTGTACTAAATTTTGTTCAAGTTTGTTTTGATAAAGTTTCAATTTGTTGTTTCAAGCCATCAGCTTACAAAATTATTCGTATGGGGGCTCTAATATACAGATAATATTTATGGAGTCTTCAGTTAATGTATATTGACAAAAACAGTAATTTGTTGTTAATGTGCAATAAGATTTGCTTAAGTTTTTAGTCGATGAAGATTCTGCAACCATAATAATCAATTTTTATACAATTTTCAAATGAATTCAGATTTAATATTAGTATGGGGGCTCTAAAAATATACAAATACGATTGTTGGAGTCTTCAAACAGAATTCTGTTGATATATGTTCAACAATACAACATTACTGTTCTTATGTAGTAAATTTTTCTTAAAAGTTTTGATTGATAAAGATTATCTATGCAAAAAGTATATAATTAAAAATATAAAGGGGGCTCATTTTTGGAATCATATATATTTGAAGTCTTTAGTTGATGTACGTTGAAGAAAACGTGTATATTACTGTGAAGTAAATATTCCTTAAACGTTTTGAGTATATGTAAGTTTGCAACCATACTTACTTTTTTGAGCCATCAATATACAAAAAATATTGAATTCAATAAACAATTCCTCATAGGGGGCTCATTTATAGAGATACTATTTTTATTGGAGTATTATTTGTTTAATTGCTTATATTTGCTTATGTTTTGACTCAATGGAGATTCTGCAACTGTATTCATTTATTTTTAAGACATCCAGTATACAATTTTCAAACGAATACATAATTATCACTAGTAGGGGGGCTCTAATAATATAGAGCTATGATTTTAGAGTCTTCAGTTGATATTTATTTTCAAATATTATTGTTGTATAATAAATTTTGCTCAAAACTTAATTAGGTATTGGTTGATGAAGATTACTATCCCAAAAAATGTAGAATTTAATATAGATTTATTCACAGGGAGGCTCTAGTACTACAGATATACAATTTAAGGAGTCTTCAGTTAATGTATGTTAAGAATAACAGCATATTGTTACTGTTTACCGAATTTTGCTTGAAAGTTTTGATCGAAGATGATTATTTATATGAAAAATTTAGAATTCAATACAGATTTATTCACAGGGGGGCTGTAATGAAATACAAATACAATTTTTGGAGACTTTAGGTGATGTATATTCAAAAATGCAGAATATATTATTACTGTATAGCAACTTCTGCTTAAAAGTTTTGAGTCGATAAAGATTCAATTCATTTTTTCAAGCCATCAGCATAGAAAATTATTCATAGGGGGGCTATTTTATACAGATACTGTTCTTGTTAAGACTCAATCAATGTAGATTGACAGAAACAGTAATTTGTTACTGTATAATAAGATTTGCTTAAGTTTTTAGTTGCTGAAGATAATTTGCAATCGTATGTTTTTTTTTATTATACGTAGGGGGGCTCTTGAATACAGATACTATTTTTGGAGTCTTGAATCAATATAGGTTGACAAAAGCAGTAATTTATTGTTACTGTATAATAATATCTGCTTAAGTTTTTAGTTGATGAAGATTATGCAACCATTTATTTTGTCGATCTTATATGTAGGGGGGCTCCTAAATCAGATACTGTTTTTGGATTTTAAATCAATGTACATTGACAAAAACAGTAATTTTTAGTTTCTGAAGATTGTGCAATCGTAATCATTTTTTTTTTTAACCTATCAATATACAATTTCCAAATCAATACATAACTATTAGTAGGGGGCTTTTTTAATATTGAATTTTATATGTAGGGGGGCTCTTAAATACTGAAATTATTTTTGGAGTCTTAAATTAATGTACATTGACAAAAACAGTTATTTTCAGTTTCTGAAGATTGTGCAATCGTAATCATTTAATTTTAAGCCATCACTCCATCAGTATACAATTTTTAATACATAATTATTAGTATAGGGGCTCTTTTTAATATTGAGTTTTATATATAAGGGGGCTCCTGTATATAGATATGATTTAAGGAGTCTTCGGATAATGTGTATTGAAAAAAAAATGTATATGTTGTTACTATGTTAAGTTTTTTTTTTAATTTATAAATTTATTAGTGAATAGTTAAAACTCTGTTTTAGTTTATAATAATTTATTACACAAGTACAAACTCAGTTAAATAAACATATTTGACTTTAAATCTTTATCGAGACAGCTAATGTCCAAAACTTAATTTATATAAATAATTATATGTATATAACAATTAGTATTAACTTAGATTCATTATTATAATTACAATTATTATAATAATTACAATTATAATACAATTATTACATTATAATTACAATTATTAATTAGTATTGCAATTATTACATTAATTTAATTTACTTACAATTAATTTTAATTCAGTACAATTCTAATTTAATATTAATTATTTATAACAAATGGTACAGTTATATTAAAAATAGTTCTAATTAGAATATAAACTAATATTAGGACACTTATTAATCCTATTAATATTGTTGTTATGTAGGTGAGTGATGATTCTTCGACTTCGTGCTGCTGATACTTGTTGCAGAGCCCCATCTGAAATGGTAAGGGATATATTATAATATTTTAATATATATATATATATATATATATATATATATATATATATAACAATGCATTCTGAGTGGTCATTTTTTTTATTTTTTTAAATTTTGATATTGCATGACTCACCAAATTGACTTTCAGTCATCAATTCATATGGCACAAGCATTTATCAAGAACAAGAAGTTGGAAGAGTTAACACATAAAGCTTTTTTAGATATTCATAATTTAAATTCTAAATTATGATACACTGATGATGACACAAACCTAGTCTCGAAATGTTTGTAAAATTAATATTATTTAATAGATTAGTGCAAAAAAGTGCTGTTCATATTTCTAAATTAATATTTAACCATTCAGAATACATTGTTGATGTTGAAATTTATGTTGTTAAGGGCAATACATCAATTTCAAAGATTTATATATTGTTTTTATAAATTTTTCAGACCACTGATGATGAAATAAAATTATATAGTGAAACGTATGGATTAAAATAAAAATTTATACAAACTATATGAATGTTTGAAATTGATGTATTGCCCTTAAATAATAACATATATATATTTATATTTATTAATTTTTTAATATATTAAAATTATAATTAACATAAATGGGTACATGTTAACCCTACGAGTGTCTTCTGCAAGTGACCCTGCTATACAGAACAGCAACCCACCCAGTAGCACTACTGAGTGGGCATAATAAACATATTTCATATTTTATAATTTTCCAATCAATATCAATCAAAATGTACAAATTTATAAATTTCTAAAGAACTCAAGGTTATAACAAATTGTAAATTGATTTAAAATTCCAATTATTTTTTTTTTTAATTAAAATTCTTAATAATTCAGTGATAATTTGGATAAACACTGGTTGGCGTCACTTTTACACATGATTTTATAACTTACCCATCCTCCGTGAGCGTTTATCCAAATGATTAGTTCGTATTCTACAATTTCACCAAAGGCTTCGATAAGTCTTGGTAGGGCATCTGCTTTGGATTGTTGAAGACAGTCTACGGCTAGGCCTCCACAAATACAAAACAGGGACACTATCTGAAAATTAAAGGACCACTTTCAGTAATTTTTAGAATATTTTTATGGTAGTACTATATTTGTTCTAAAACAGTTTTTGTTTAATAATTGAGTAATTTTGTTGCTTATTTTAAAAGAATTTTTATCCTAAAAATTGTAGAAAAGGCTTTAAAAGTCTGGTCATTGTCAAAAATAGAGACTGATGGAGTTCCAAAATTTCATAATTTCATTTTATTCCAAATTTTCTAACCATTACCAGAGATTTTGAAAATTGGCATATGATCATGTAACATTTATTTATTTTTCAATGTTGCCCTGGTAGTGTTGTGGCATAGTTATTTGACAAGTTGGTTTGGTTGTTCCTTGATGCGGCTTTTGAAATTGTCTGGATGTTCACTTTGTGAGTGAAAAATCTTTAGTTTTATTATTTGCAGACAATCTAAAGTATCATGTACTCAAATTGGATCATTGGATCATCAATCAGAGGTTTGCAAAAATTGGATGGTAGATAAAAGATGTTGACCAGTTTTTCTAATTTATAAAGGATCATCAGTTAGTCCTTTTTGCAAACCAGTTTTTGGTTTTGATAACCAGTTGGTGTGGTATTTTTTTTACCTTTGGCCAAGTTATTCCCTGTTTGAAAATTCCTCGTGAGACATTACACAAAATGGTGGCTGGTGCATCATTGGAAGTCAACATTGGAGTCATGCAGGCTTGTCTGGTTATATGTGTGTAGACACTTGGATGAGATCGTTCCATTTCTAAACCTATCTGCAAAAAAAAAAAATAGACAGAAATAATTTATTAAAATTCCCAAGGAGAAGTTTATGTTCTAGTCAGTTTGATCGTTTGATATATTATTATTCGTCATTCTGAATTGTTTGACATCGAATTTGGATAAAGTATTTGTAAGAAAAAATACAACCACTAATTAGACCTAAATAATTTACAAAAAAAGATCCTAAAATATTATACTAATTAGACAGAAATAATTTATAAACTTCCCCAAGGAGAAGTTCATGTTCTCACCAGTTTGTATTGTTAATTTTATGCTTCAAGTCATTCTGAATCGTTTGACATAGAAATTGATTAAAGTATTTGTAAGAACAAATACAACATACTAATTAGACAGAAGTAATTTACAAACTAACATTCTAAAATATTATAGGCTTACGAAAAGTGCAATCTTTTGTTTTTGATTATATTGTTTGTTCATGCATATAGTTAATGTAACTTGCAATATGCTAAAATGTCACTTACATCTAGTTTATTTACTTACATAACAATAAAACTAATTTAATGTATTTGTAATAAAAAGTATTGAAAATAACGCTTACCATGCATATCCAAGCCTTAGGAAAAATGTATGAGAAAACGTTATGTTAGGTTCGGACTACATGGAAAGCTTTCATGGAATTTAAACTATTTATCCTATAAAATTACTGAAAAGTTGTTAAATTGAAATTCTTATTGATTACATCGATTATTATTATCTAATTTCTGGAATTTTATGCTCTTGCTCTAAGGTTCTCAAACTTAGTTTACAACTTATTTTATAATAATTAATACTGACTGCTAACAATATCGGATAAACTTTAGCTGTAACAGCAGAGATCTCTTGACTATTTTTCTCCGAATTGTCCTGTTGGCTTATATCAGTGTTCCTCAAACGTTGAAGAGCAACACGGCGCACAGCTCGAGAACCACTGCGACGGGTTCGACCTAATACATAGCGGACAGCTAAATGTCTTCCCTGGAATAAAAGACGGATTTATGAGTATACCGAGTTGTTGTAGGGACTTTTGGTGTTAGACAATGTTGCAGATTTAAATTTTTCAAGTTTAATTTTGTACAAATTTGCTTCAAACATCATTGATATCAATCAAATGGTTTAAAAGTTACAAGAGATGTAATAAATAAATGCATAGATTTTCCAATCATGATGACTAGATATATAGACATAAACATAACAATAACAATTTTAGTGATTTTAGAGTAGACTGATTTGCTCTAGTGTCTTTTGTTGTTACAGTAATTTGTAGGTTATTTAATTATGTGCAAATTTGTCTCTCGCCACATACTTATTAATTGAATATTGTAAAAGTTACAAGAGATTCAATAAATAAATGCATAGATTTGTTAATCATGTTAAACACTAGATATAGACATAACTATTTTTGATAGTGATTTTGGAGTGTACTGAGTTGCCTTAGGGTCTTTTGTTGTTCGAATAGGTTTTAGGTCATATTAATTGAATGGTTGGAACTTTGAAGGTTACAAGAGATATACGATAAATAAATCCATAGAGTTGTCTATCTATTATGATGATGGACGTTAAAATATAACAACAACAATTTTAGTGATTATAGAGTAGACTGAGTTGGTATAGTCTTTGTTGTTACAGTATTCAATTGTGTACAAGTTTATCTTTTACCACATCCATATTAATCGAATGGTTTAAAAGTTACAGAAACGCAATCAAAAAGAGTACATTGAATGAAAATTTTAACAGCAAGTCTTTATTTAGGCTTCTTTGGGGTATACTGAATTGGTATAGAGACTTTTGATGTTGAAAAATTTTGTACATTATTTAATTCTGAACACATTTATTAGTTGCATCAAACATACTAATTGAATGGTTTTAAAAAAATAGAGCTGATATAAGTGCAAGTGCAAATTGTGATTTGCTAGGACCATTATTAATGTTCTCTTGAAATTTGAGTATACCGAGTAGTTGCTGGTTGTTTTAGTTGTTAGACAAAATTGTACATCATTTAATTTTGCACAAATTTGTCTTATTCCTCATTCACATTAATCGATTAGTTTGAAAGTTACAAGAGATATAATAAAGAAATACATAAGGTTTGCAGAGTCTATAGTTTCTGTTCTATTCCCAGTACAGTGGACTGATTGGGGCTAATTAATTAATTTTGTTAGTTAATTACCTGATCAATTATGGTCTGTGTAGGTATCGTGTGGTTTCTCCAACCCAAACCAATGGTTGTCGATAATTTTCTGGTGACTGCATCACTCACATTACTCAATCTGAAAAAAAAAAAAATATTTACAATATCTCTTGCAACTTTTAAACCATTCGATTAATATGAATGGTGTGTGAGACAAATTTGCACAGAATTAAATGTAGAATATTGTCTAATAACTAAATATGTACATCATAGGTTCCCAAACTTGTGTCGTTGGACCTCTTACACTTTGCCTTGGACATCCTATTCATCCCAAATCGATTTTTTTTTTAATTTTTGCTTGTACTAATATTTAGTATTAAACATTTGAAGTAATGATTCAAATACATATTTAAACATTAATTAATTGGTTTTGAAATAATAATAAAAAATAGATATTAACAAGTTTATTTTTAATTTCAAGGTAATTCGTTTTCGCTGATGTTAATTGTGAACAAATTTATCTTTCACCACATTCATATTAATCGAATGGTTTAAAAAGTTACAAGAGATATGATAAATAAATGCATAGTAGTAAATCATAGCAGATTCTTTTTTTGAGACGCCTTTGTGGTAAATTCATAATCTAATTCATTTAGATGACGACTTAGACGAGCTTTGTATCTGCAGCAGTAAAGACTAATTTCTTCTTCTTTAGTTGAAATTCTGAGATCTTGATGTATCAACCAATTGGGAACATATTTTGGAGCGTTAACGATTTCTTTCAAAATCTTATTTTGGAACCTTTGAAGAATAGTTATGTTCGATTTACTGGCCGCACCCCATAATTGTAGGCCGTAGGACCATATTGGTTTAATAATTTTCTTGTATATAAGGAGTATATTAGGAATTTTTTATTGTGACTTGTAATTTCCAGCCCATTTCCAGACCAATCATGATGATGATTAGTTATAGACATAAAAATATAACAAGAACAACAATTTTAGTGATTTTAGAGTAGGTTGTGTTATTAGACCCTTGGGAATCACTGATCTACATCAACCTGGAATTTTCTAAAAATGCTACAATATTGATTTTAATTCTGTCAATTCAATTTTAAAACCTTTAATTCGAGACCCTTGACCCCATATGGACCACTTTGGGAATCACTGATTTACATCAACCTGCTATTTTCTTTCAAAATATTCACAAGTGACCCCAATTCTTTCTTTTCAATTTCAAAACCTCTAATTCGAGTTATTTCTATTACTATTATTGTTTCCTTTATTTTTGGAAAATTTACCTCCGTCTTGCCGTCAGGCTGGACCCTGGTTCAGGTAGAAGTGACCCTATGCAGACTGGTATCGAGAATTTTCGTTTTGTTTCGAATTTTGGGACCTCTAGCAGATTTCCTGACATTTTTCATACTGGGAAAGAAAAGAAATATAAATATAAATTTTATATTTTTTAATAGATTTATTATAAGAAATGTTTTACTTATATTTATTATAATAAATACAGGGTTTCGTACCAGTATATATATATATATATATACTGTTTTTTTTAATGAAACTTTAAAATATTTAATACAGTTGTTTTTTAAATAATTTATACTATTATTATATATATATATTTTTGATAATTATTATATTAATTTATAATATTATATTTGTTTATTCCCATCCATATAGATCCTTCATTAGTTTCTAAATTTTTAGAAATCTTTTCTTAGTATTTTACGTATATATATATATATATATATATATATATATATATATATAACAAAAGAATAATGTATGTGTGTGACTAGATTATTATATATTGTGAGAGACAAATAGTTACATATAGAAATAAAAATTATAGAGAATGTTATTAGAGACAATAAACGAGTAATTAGAGAATTGGTGTATTACGAAGTTAACATATATCATTTTTTATATCTTATTTATTTATAAGACTACTTGAGGCTATTTATTTATTGCATATCTATTAATCTATTTAATTATTGCATGCCTATTAATCTATTTAATTATTGCATGTCTATTTATCTATATATGTATCTATATTTATCTATATATGTATCTATATTTATCTATTTAGTTTTTTATATATTGATGTTTTTTTAGGTATTTTGAGACATTTCTGGACATATAGACATTTAGTTTTTTTTTTTAAGCAAAGTTGTGAAGAAATTTTAGAACATTTTAAGATATTTTTAGTACATTATAAGACACTTTAAAACATAAGATATTTTAAATCATTTCGTTTTTTTAAAACATTCCAAGATATTTTTAAGACATTTGGAGGTATTTTTAAGACATTTCGAGGTATTTTTAAAACAATTTGAGACATTTAAAGATTTTTAATAATTGTAAGACTCAAGTATTTCTAGTCAAGAAAATTGCCGGACTTTTGTTTTGTTTTCAGTCAGACTTTTATTTATATCTTTTATCTATATACATTTTTATTTATATCTTTTTAGATCATTTTAGATATTTTTAGACGTTAGTACACGTTTTCAGATATTTTTATTTATATCTTTAAAAAATTCAACAAATTTTAGATACTTTTAGATATTTTTAAATATTCCAAGACATTTTTAGATATTTTTTAGATATTACAAAACATTAATCGAAGTTTTTCTTATAAATTTGTTAATATTAATATATTACATACATGTTATAATAATTCAATTGCTGATTTATTTATTAAACTGCTTGAAGCTATTTATATATTGTATGTATTTATTTATTGCATGTCTATTTATCTGTTTATCTATGTATCTATATTTATCTATCTATTTATTTTTATCTATAGTGTTTTCTGTATCTATTTATCTATAGTCATTTTATTCATGTATTTATAAATATATTTTTTTATATTTTTTTAGCCACTTTTTTAATATATAATACTATATAGTTATGTTTAACTATTCACGGATTTATTTATATATCTTAAATTTTTTTTATTTATTTATTAATAACACTAGTTTATTTATTTTGGTAATATTATTTGTTAATTTATTTGGTAAAATTTTGGTAACTTATTTTATTTGATTCAATATTTTTCTGGCTATTTTTTTATATAAACTTATTTATTTAAATCATATTATTATAATTATCTGTCTATTTTTGTATTTATCTATATTTATCTATTCAATTATTCATTTTTATTCATATTATTTTAATAAATAAACTAGTTTATCTACTTTAGTAATAAACTATTTTTTTTTAAATATTTTTTTTTTGGCTATTTGTTATACACTTTTTCATTTAAAACATTTAATTATTAATTGGTTTATTTATGCATATATTTATCTATTTATCCTCTTTTTATTTATCTATTTATTTATTCAACTATTTATTTTTCTCATTTCAAAAATTTTGTTTTAGAAATAATTTGCTTTATATTAATAAATAAATGAATTCATTTTTATCTATACATTTGAATAATTGTTAGTTTACCTATTTATTTATTTCTATGTTTATGTATCTAATTGGGGTATTATTTATCTGTCTATCTATTCACCTATTTATTTATATATTTATCTATTTAACTATTCATTTCTCTGTTTGTATTTTTGAAATAAGTTGCTTTTTTATTTGTTTTTTCAATTTATGGCTATATTTGTATTTATTTTTATGTATTTATCTAAATAATTTATTTATCTATTTATTCCTGTACTTATGTATCTTATTGGTTAATTATTTATCTGTCCATTTATTTATTTACACACTTAATTCTAAACTTTGTTCATAAACTGTAAATTTTTTCTTGAATACACTTCTTGTTTTTCTTCAAATCTATTTATTTTTCTGTTTATTCATTTATATATTTATTACATATTTTTATTTATTCATACATTTATTAATTTAATTATTCATACATTTATCTATTTATTTTTTTATTTATTTACACACCTCTTTTTATATTTTGGTAATACTATTTTTTTTTACTAACTACTAATTTTAATTTCTTGCATGTTTTCTTTGTATATTTCTGTTGTATATATCTATTCTAAATTATTTATATTTATTTATATATAAATATTAATAACAACTAAATTATTAATTTAATTAAATAATTGATTATATATATAAATTGTTTATAATTTGAACTTCTTACTGTGACTAAACTGTTTTAAGCACTTTTGTTCGCTCGGTGGCTTATCTTGGATAAATATAATAAAGATATACACTTTTATATATTTATATATATACATATTTATATATATATATATATATATATATATATATACAAATGTATATTATCTATAATAAAACACCTGTTTCTATATGCGTAAGAACGAACTTTGTAATACTTTTTTTTCCTAATCGATTTTTATTACTTACAACTTTTATTACCGTTTAATTGTACTCTAATAACTCTTTTTTATTTGTTTGTGAGATTGCTAATAATATTAATATATATATATATATATATATATTAATTAATTATATTATTTTGGATATTTCGATTTTTAAACTTCAGTCTCTTCTCCAAAAGTTCTTAAATTTTTCTTTCAAGTAATTCTCAAGTCACTTTTTTTTTGACTTTGTGTACGTGTACATTAGTCATATACATTTTATTTTTATTGGTTATTTTGCAGTTTAAACATTTTACAAAAAAAATGTTTTTAATATTCAATAATTTTTCAATCCTGCATTTTATTTTTCTTTATAATTTTTATTAGTCATATTTCCTAAATACAAAAGTTTTTGTTCGACAAGTGTTTTGTGCGAAATTCTCTGAATTTTATTTCTGAAAATTCTATATAATAAAATTGAAGGTAGCATAATTTACCTGTAGATCTTTTTTGGGAATTTTATATGAAGTATCGCTAGTAATATGAATACAGGGCTGCATTTTAATTATAAGTGTTAGATAAAAATAAATTTTAATTATGGTTACTGCCCAAAACTTGGTTTGTGAAAATAATTTTTTTTTAAATTATTTTTTGAGACAATTTTTTCGAGAAGAAACACTTGAAAATGTCTTAACAATTATTAGAAATCTGAAAATATACTTATTTTATTGATTGAAAGAAATAAGTGAATGAATAATGAAATAAATTAATAAATAACTTTATTTATTATTTTTTGTGAAAGATTGTTGAGAGCTGTATTAGATGCATCATTAAGAGAAATATCCCATTCAGCATCAGAATTTTTTGGATTTCAGTAAATACACTGAAAAATTAAATTAATATATATATATATATATATATATATATATATATAAAAATAAAAAAACAATATAACTGAAAAATTAATTATATATATAATAAAATAAATAGAATAATAAATAGATTAATAAATAAATTTATTATCTTTTGTGATTGATTGTTGAGAGCTGTGTTAGATGCATCATCAAGAGAAATATCCTATTCAGCATCAGTTTTTTTGAATTTCAGTAAATACACTGAAAAATTCAATTAAAATGTATTTCTAATAATGTCTTAAATTGTTTTAGAAAATATCTTGAAATGTTTTGAAATATCTTCAAGAAAAATCTGAAGTGTGTGTAAACAACGAATCTAAATTTCTACTAAACAAATTTAAATTTCTACTAAATAAATCTAAATTTCTACTAAACAAATTTAATTTTTTATTTAAAAAAAATTAGATTTCTACTAAACAAATTTAGTTTCCATTAAACAAATTTAAATTTCCATTAAACAAATCTAAATTTCTGCTAAAACATCTAAATTTCTACTAAAAAAATTTAGTTTTTTATAGAAAAATCTAAATTTATATAGAAAAAATCTAAATTTTTATAAAAAAATCTAAATTTCTACTAAACAAATCTGAATTTCTACCAAAAATATCTGAATGTCTATAAACAAATCTAAATTTCTATAATCAAATCTAAACTTCTACTAAAAAAGTCTGAATTTTTACTAAAAAAATTTGATTTTCTACTAAAATCTGAATTTCTACTAAAAACTCTGAATTTCTTTAAACAAATTTAAATTCCTATAAAAAAATCTGAATTTCTACTAAAAAAAATTTAAATTCCTATAAAAAAATCTGAGTTTCTATAAACACTTATCTAAATTTCTATAAACACTAATCTGACTTTCTATAAAAAAATTAGATTTTCACAAATAAATCTGAATTTTCATAAACAATAATCTAAATTTCTTTAAAAAAAAATAGATTTCCACAAATAAATCTGAATTTCAATAAAAAAAAATTAATTTCTATAAAAAACAGATTTCTATAAACAAATTTGTTTATAGAAATCTGTTTTTTTATAGAAATTATTTTTTTTTTATTGAAATTCAGATTTATTTGTGGAAATCTATTTATATTTTATAGAAATTTAGATTTAAATCTAAATTTCTATAAAAAAATATCTATAAAATTCTAATTAAAAATATGTAACTAATAATTTGCACAATTTACATTATGCTCGAA